ATAATAGATTACATCATGAGGATGTGTGTGGAGAACAAGAGGTACAGTTACAGTCCATCTGCAGGAGGGGTCAATGTTCACTCTTCTCACCACTTATTCACTACTTTTCAGTTTAGAAGACACTCTGGCCTGAATCGGAAAACCCCCTCCTGATGATGTAACTTTTGAAAAATACACTGCAGTGGATTTTTGGGGGCGAACAGCTTAAAATGTATTTTCTAGTTTCCTAGGAGTAACTTTATGTTTATCCTAGAGGTTTGCTGTGTTGTTAAGCCACTGCTATAGCATTCCAAGGTTACTAAGGTGTGGTTACGCCACCACTATAGCATTCCAAGGTTACTAAGGCGTTATTACGCCACTGCTATAGCATTCCAGGGTTGCTATGTTGTTGTTATGCCACTGCTATAGCATTCCAGGGTTGCTAAGGTGCTATTAGGCCACTGCTATAGCATTCCAAGGTTGCTAAGGTGTTGTTATGCCACTGCTATAGCATTCCAGGGTTGCTGAGGTGTTGTTATGCCACTGCTATAGCATTCCAAGGTTGCTAAGGTGCTATTAGGCCACTGCTAAAGCATTCCAGGGTTGCTGAGGTGTTGTTACACTACTGCTATAGCATTCCAGGGTTGCTAAGGTGCTATTAGGCCACTGCTAAAGCATTCCAAGGTTGCTAAGGTGTTGTTATGCCACTGCTATAGCATTCCAGGGTTGCTGAGGTGTTGTTATGCCACTGCTATAGCATTCCAGGGTTGCTAAGGTGCTATTAGGCCACTGCTATAGCATTCCAAGGTTGCTAAGGTGTTGTTATGCCACTGCTATAGCATTCCAGGGTTGCTGAGGTGTTGTTACACTACTGCTATAGCATTCCAGGGTTGCTAAGGTGCTATTAGGCCACTGCTAAAGCATTCCAGGGTTGCTAAGGTGTGGTTACACCACTGCTATGGCATTCCAGTGTTGCTAAGGTGTGGTTACGCCACTGCTATAGCATTCCAGGGTTGCTAAGGTGTTGTTATGCCACTGCTATAGCATTCCAGGGTCCTAAGGTGCTATTAGGCCACTGCTATAGCATTCCAGGGTTCTGAGGTGCTATTAGGCCACTGCTATAGCATTCCAGGGTTGCTAAGGTGTTATTAGGCCACTGCTATAGCATTCCAGGGTCCTAAGGTGCTATTAGGCCACTGCTATAGCATTCCAGGGTTCTGAGGTGCTATTAGGCCACTGCTATAGCATTCCAGGGTTGCTAAGGTGTTATTAGGCCACTGCTATAGCATTCCAGGGTCCTAAGGTGCTATTAGGCCACTGCTATAGCATTCCAGGGTTCTGAGGTGCTATTAGGCTACTGCTATAGCATTCCAGGGTTACTAAGGTGTTATTAGGCTTCTGCTATTGCATTCCAGGTGGTTGCTAAAGTGTTGCTAAGCCATTACTATGGTATTCCAGGTGGTTGTGTATTCCCCTAATGATTCCTTGGGTTCCTAATGCTTTCAAAATAAATCAATAAATCATTCCACCCCAAACCCTCTTCTCTTCTTCAAGATAGCCCACCTTAATCAGAATGGGGTGCAAATGCTTTGGGTATATTTAGCTTCATCACTCAGCTTCATGTTCATGCAGTGTGTCTTCCTGTTTCTAAACAGTGATTTGACACTTTTCTTTTTCCAAACTATCATTAAACAAGCAGACTGAAACTCTTCAGGTTCAAAGGTGCTTTAAACACCTGCAAAGGCCGCTGACTTCACAACAAGGGGATAAAATGGATGATTTTCCCAAAGTAGGCCTTTTATCAGGTGTTGAGGTAATGAAAAATAGGAAGATCTGACCAGCTTTCTGTTTAATATGTTAAGTCAAAGCAAAACTACAAAGAAAATATGCTCGTTTGTGTTGAAAAAACCTCAAAGGTTTGATGTTTTTCAAAGCTGTACATGTTCCTTGTTAGCTTCTGCTGCTTGTCAGCCTTTCTCTTTCTCTCTCTCTCTCTCTCTGTCTCTCTCTCACCCGCTCACTTGTTCTCCTTGATGCCTGAAGACAGTCAGTGCCCTAGTTTATGAGCGGTTCTGAAGGTTTGCTACCGTCACCCTCCAGTAAAAGGAGCAAAACAATGGTGATATGAGCCGCGGCAGCAGGCTGTTTTCATGCACAGCGAATCAAGCTCAAGCGCAGCTTGCTGAATTCAATGCACAGGTGAACGGCTAGCAGATCGGACGCGTATTTAGACAAAAAATGCATGATGTCCAGTCGACCAATCAATGTCCAGTCAGTAGAATCAACAGAGGTGAAATGAATCCAATTGGATTAGAATTTTTAGAATTGGATGAATGAACTTGTTAGCTTGACAAAGCCAGCTTATAACACTTTAAAGGTTAAAGCAGTTGCAGAAGACAGTTGACTGTGTTTCACAACTTAATTGCATTTATATAGTAATCTCAGGTAGTTGCTAAGGTGTTGCTATGGTATTCCAGCATGGTGACTATTAGGTTGTTGTTAAGGTGTTGCTATGCTGTTGCTATGGAATCCCAAGTTGTTGTTAAGGTGCTGTAAGGCTGTTGCTATGGTTTCCCAGGTGGTTGTTTGGGGTTGCTGGACCATTGATGTGCTATCCCAGATGGTTGCTAATGTGTTGTTAGGCTATTGCTATCATGGTAATGGAAATGTGAAACTTTCATATTAATGGAATGTTTATGTCAGTGTTATGCAAACCAGTAAAATACATATTTAGGTCGGTACCAAGCTTCAAATAAAACTTATAAAATGTATTTTACAAGCTTTGAACGTGCATGTCTAAATGTCCTCAACCACCAGAAAGTGTACATGTGCACCACCGTTAGCTCAGCGCTAACACACTATTAGACATACTTCAGAGGCAATAGCAGAAATGAGCATTATCGCAGTTCTTGATCAAATTTTTTCCGATTATGACCCATACCAGAGATCTAGCTCTATCCATTACCTGTGAACATCAAAGATTTTACAGTGGTTTTGTATTTAGATTTTAAAACAGGAATTTTTTGTAACAATAGTTTTATGACTGAAGGCCACTATAACTGCGATCTGTGTCAATTTCTTGGCAACCGTATGTCAGTGTGTGCGTGTGTGTGTGTGTGTGTGTGTGTGTGTGTGTTCTCTTGTTCTTCCACGTTTTGATCCGATAAACCTGACATTGGCTCGGGGCAGGATGAGCCCATTTCAGTAGCTGCCATGTTCAGTCATACAGAAAATAACACACACACACACACACACACACACACACACACACACACACAAACACACGCACACGACTGCTCCTGTCCTCTTCATCTCAAACACTCTGCCTGCATTGTCTATTATGGCGCTACCATTTAAACACAGATAAACTTAGTTGAACCAAAGTTACCTTTGAAGGCTCTTACAGTCGATAGCAAAAGTTTGAACACCCCTGGTCAAATGACATGTTTTGTTGTTTTACAGAGAATGTGCATTTTCTTATAATTTCTATTCAACAAATTGAAAAAAAAATATATAAAATAAAATATAAAATATAAAAGGTGCCCCCAAATGTTAAAGTCAGTTAAATTCAGTAAGTAAACAGTAATTTTGCATTACAATGTGCCAAAGTGTGTTTACTGTAGAAAATAAAAAAAATATGATGTTTGAGGAGGGGTGCTCAAACTTTTGCACATGACTATATTTTTTGTTCAGTATGGTAATGAAACTCTCGAGCAAATACAACTACAAACCTTGATTCCATGAAAGAAAATGCTATTAAAAACAGAAAGCAGTGATTCTGTTAGAACTATATTAGATATAAAATATGAGAACACAATACTTTCTGAACCTTTTTCTTTATATGATCATTCTAAATTTGAGGTCTGACCAACTGATCCAATTTTGAAAGTGGATTTTTTTTGCCATCCTCCTGTTATACAAGTCTTCAGCTGTGCAGTCATGCTGTTGCAACACGTGCAGAATGTGACTTAGTGTTGTCATGTTGAAATAAGCATGAATGTCCCTGAAAAAGACGTTGTCTAGAAGGCAGCCTATGTTGCTCCAAAATGTGTATAAATACTTTCAGTATTAATGGTGCTTTTACAGATGTAAAACCCAATAATACCCCCCATACTATGACAGACTCTAGCCTTTGAACTTTACACTGCTAACAATCCATATGGTCCCTTTCTTCTTTGGCCTGGAGAACATAACATCCATTATTCCCATAAACAGTCTATTAGGTGGACTCATCAAACCACAATACATGCTTCCTCTGTGTATCAGTCCATTTCAGATGAGCTTGAGCCCAGAGAAGTTGGTGGTGTTTCTAGATGTTGTTGATATTTGGCTTCCACTGTCCATAGAGAATTTCTAGTGAAGAGCAGTGCCTCTCAGTAATATCCTCCGGGTTAATCAGACATCATGCTTTAGTAACCGGATGTTTGAAGAGTAACATGCCTATAAAAGCTACCTGACATTAAATGCCTGTGAATAGGTTGCCTGATGTGCACTCTAGGGCAAAAGAAATGGCCCAAAATGGCAAAACATTAATCTTTTAATGAGCTTAACAACAAATCGTTGAATAAATAGATGAAGTAACTTAATACCGGAGAGCTTTTCCCTTTGATTTCCTTAAATGTTGAAATCTTGCTGACAGCATTTTACAGAAATAAGAATCAGTATTTTTCCACTCCACATTGACGGCTTCAAACAGCTGAATAACAGCGCCGAGCTAATTTGTGTTTAATGTGAAGCCAGATTTTCTCTACAGGGTTTAAATCTGGACTGATTTGGCTGCTCTGACCAGCCAAAACTATCAGTGTAACTCATTATATTTTGGGTTTGGCCCATTTTTTGCCCAGGAGTGCATGCCGGGTGTTGCACATACATCCAGTGCAAATAAAACCCCAAAGAAAACTTATGTTTTGAGATTAATCACTATTTTACCCTCATCATCATTACATATAAAAACTCAAAAGACATGTGTAGGTTCACTTGTGGTTCTGGATAGTAAATAAAATGGCTTTTTTTTTTTTTGCAGGCATTGCAACCCCTGGTTTCCATCACCACCACTGTAAAGCAGTGCGAGTCG